AAATCATGTTAAGTGGTGGAGATAGTCTTTTAATAAAATGAAATGTATAGAGAATCTACAATATATTACGAATTCAGTTAGTACAATAATCTTCTACAAGTTAACTAATCTTGTAGTGTTTGTTCATTGGTAATTCTGAAATTTTTAGATTTTTCGATAAAAGTGACTGGGTGTCTAATTAAGTTAAACATATTAAATTGTGTGGAATTTTCTACTAAAATCTATTTTCTAAATCCACGTACAAATAACTAAAACAATAATCAACAGATATAAAATTCCCTCTTTTTGTAGCAATAATCCGTTTTTTTCGTAACTCGGAATGTTTAGGGAATCTAACAATTTTTTTTATTATTTACGAAATCCTTCGTCTGTGTTATGTGATTATTACCTATGAAATGAAACAGGATTGCTTTCTTTGCACGTTCTATTCAATTATACGCACAACACGATTTCAGGATGTTTAACAAATAGTCCAATAAAATACAACTTAAGAGGGGCGGACGCCAACTGGGCACCAACTAATCGCAGGTAAATTTTGCGGGTAGTTACGATAGGCCAACTCGGCACCGAGCCTCAAATAAAGATCGGTGAACTCGGCACTACAGCAGCAGGTATTAGGTAAGGAAAGGGTTAATCCGCCGACTCCCCGAGATACCTTCCCTCTAGTCAAATCCTCATGTGCAAATAAATAACACAAGTCTGCAAATTTAACTTTTGAAAATTTGTTTTTGTTCTGATGGCTGTCTTGGGTAGTTTTTTTAGCATTGATTACGTCTATGATATCTGTTTGTCGCTTTCACGTAAGGTTTATTTGTAAAACAATATTAAAACTGAAATTTTTAAGTAGTATAAGAATATTATAGAAATACTGTAATAGATTTTTTTTCATAATCTGCATACAAAAATTTATTGGATGAGGTGATTTTTCTGTTAACAGGACCGATTTTATTTTTTACTTTGTTTCCTTAATTTTTTGGTTTTTTAAAATTTGTAGGTGATAAAATGTTTTAAATAGCTTTTTCTCGTGATTAGCGTTTAAAAATCTAGGCGATGACTCGATTCTTGTTAATAAACATTGTTTTGTTGAAATCCTATAATGTGATACCATTGTTTAGTTTCGTTTCTGTAAAGTTTTAAAAAAAAAAAAACACTGCTATATGTATATGTAGGTAAAATCATTTACCTATATATGATTTTAAGTAATAAAAGATATTTTGGAACAATTGTTTTAATTTAATGAATTGTACAAATATTTCCTGTTAAAAAACATATTTTTGTGTTGTTTAAACAATCTCTTTTTACTTCCCGAGCGTAAGCAAAGGAAATATTGTAATCGAGTCCGTCGGCCGACTCTCTACTTTTACGTTTTCTCGATCTTTCATGACCCCTAGAAGACGAAGAAATAGGTCTCCCATTTCCGTCTGTCTGTCCGTCTGTCCGTCTGTCCGTCCGTCTGTCCGTCTGTCCGTCTGTTGTCCCGGATTTTTATTAGACAGATAATCTCCGAAAGTACTCGACCGATTGTTGTGAAATTTTGTACTTATATTAAGAATATCATGTAGATGGTAAAACGCTAACCAAAATTTGTCTAATCATCCCCACCACTAATGCGATGACGTCACTTCAAAATTGTACATAGTAAATGGGTTTTCAATTGTATAAAATAACATAGTCCTACACATGTAGTTTACAACTCTGAATCGACTTTTCACCCGAAACGTCCAGATTTTTGGAAAAAAAAATCAAAATTATAAAACAATATTTTGAAATTTAATTTTTAATCTGCTAACCAGAATGCTTTGAAATGTTGCAGATGTTTTAAGGCTATAAAGAGCATCATAAATCTTTAGTCAAAAAATATTTGCTTATCCCCTCCAAAAACTTGATGACGTCAGCTCAAAAGTTTGTGGAATAAATCATATCTAAAATGTACAAAATATGATGAGTCTGTACTTGTGATCTATCACTCCATTCATATTTTTTGTATTTGCATATACAGGGTGACTCAAAAAAATTAATGAATGCGTAAATATATTTAATTGATTTAATCAGGAACTACAAAACCGAATGCTCTGAAATCTTGCAGATGTTTTAAGGCTATAAAGAGCATCATAAATCTTTAGTCAAAAAATATTTGCTTATCCCCTCCAAAAACTTGATGACGTCAGCTCAAAAGTTTGTGGAATAAATCATATCTAAAATGTACAAAATATGATGAGTCTGTACTTGTGATCTATCACTCCATTCATATTTTTTGGATTTGCATATACAGGGTGACTCAAAAAAATTAATGAATGCGTAAATATATTTTATTGATTTAATCAGGAACTACAAAACCGAATGCTCTGAAATCTTGCAGATGTTTTAAGGTCATAAAGAGCATAATAAATGTTTAGTCAAAATATATTTGCTTATCCCCTCCAAAAACTTGATGACGTCAGCTCGAAAGTTTGCCGAATAAATCATATCTAAAATGTACAAAATATGATGAGCCTGTACTTGTCATTTATCACTCCATTCATATTTTTTGGATTTGCATATACAGAGTGACTCAAAAAAATTAATGAATGCGTAAATATATTTTATTGATTTAATCAGGAACTACAAAACGGAATGCTCTGACATCTTGCAGATGCTTTAAGGTTATAAAGAGCATAATAAATGTTTAGTCAAAATATATTTGCTTATCCCCTCCAAAAACTTGATGACGTCAGCTCGAAAATTTGCCGAATAAATCATATCTAAAATGTACAAAATATGATCAGTCTGTACTTGTGATTTATCATTCCATTCATATTTTTGGATTTGCATATGCAGGGTGACTCAAAAAAATTAATGAAGGCGTGAATTTATTTTATCGATTTAATCAGGAATTACAAAACCGAATGCTTTGAAATCTTGGGAATATTTTAAAGTTATTATAAGCATGGTAAACTTTTGTTCAAAATGTATTTGTTCATCCCTCCTAAAAAAATTGATGACGTCACCCTTAAATTTTGCTGAATAAATCCTATCTAAAATGCAAAAAATATGATGAGTTTGTACTTGTGATTTATCATTCCATTCATATTTTTTAGATTTTCTTAAGAGGTGGTTCAAAAAAATTAATGAAGTCAATTTATTTTATTGATTAAATTAAAGGCAACACTTATTATTAGTATTACACCCCAACCAACCCAATTTGGTAGACACAAAATTTGTTAAAGGAAAAACTCGGTTGAAACATAAGGGTAGCATGCTTATTTACATCGACTTTAACATTACAGACCTGCATTTGTTTTATGCGGTCACTTGGTTCCGCGAATGCGAAATAGACATGTTTATAATCAACCAATTTCACCGTCAAGAATTAAAATAAAACGCAATGTTTTATATAATAAGCCGAAGTCGAAGCAATAAAACCGATGGTCGTTTTGTTTACAGTTTCTCTGTTTGACTCTCACGTATGCTGTTACGCTTGTCATCTTAAATTAAGAATGTTTATACATAAACGATTTTCAGTTGCCCCTCATATTACTAGACAGCGGATTTCTGTCGGGCTACGTCACGATTATAGGGGGGGACGTGCTGGATTGCATAAATATAATTAACGATTTATTAATCAAACGGCTAAGTAAATGAGAACGGGAATTAACAGCAGAGTGCAACGAAACAACGTTATTCTAATCTCAAATAAACGAAGTGCAGTCTGCAACGGCAATGAATTCGCATCCCGTGCGAGCCGTACCGAGTTTGGCCTTGCCTAGCCCGACAGAAATCCGCTTTCTAGATATTACACACCGGCGCCGTATACGTAAGTAAATTGTTTCGTTATTTTATTGATTATAAGAAATCAATATTCAAAACGACCCAATTCATTTTCCCGAAAATTTGGGAACACAATAATTTTATTCTTACATCTATCCCAACTGATGTACGTGTCCTTGCAAAAATGTTGATGACGTCATCACAATTTTTTTTTAAATTCCCACTACAAAAATGTAATGAGAAAAAAAAACATAATAGGCATGCAGTCGTCAAGTTTCCGACAGCGAGGGAAGTACTGTCTAAACTCTTTAGACCAATTTTTTCTCTTTCCCCTCGAACTTTGCTGCGATCTATAATTTTAGATGGGTTGCTGGATGTTATAGTCTTGCCGTCTTAAAATGTTGCCGTTACAAGCATAGCAGTAGCTGGTCTGTCTGATATCCCTGCTCTGTCACAAATGTTTGTTCTATTATACACAATCATGTAAAGTTTATTTTATTATATAAATACAGACGCACAGATTTTCTTAAAACTCTAGTTATACACAACACAAACTGAAAAAATAGCGGTTCGTTTATTTTAAGCCAGTTTATGCTTCTAATATAAGGCGTTACATTTGCAAATCGCGATACGTGTACAACAAATCTTATATAGTAATTCTGCACTTATATTATTTTTTAGTTTCCAATCCCAATGTTCTGGATTAGTTTTTTTCCAGGCCAAGTTTGTAGAAGTCTTTTGTCGCTGCAGCTGTTAAAAACATGTATAGAGTAGCAATAAAGTACACGCCTTGTTGTTAGGTTGTCCTAACACAAAAATGTAACAGACTTATTTTATAGAGAATTGAGCTACGAACAATTTTCATAATAACCTTATTCGACCTCCGAGCAATAGGATGCAAGATATTCGTCACATTTAGTAGAACACTGTTATGAAGGTACATACAAAAATTTATCTCAGCAGGAATTATTCCGAAGGATGGGTTTTAAAACTCCTAAAATGACTGGATTAAAATGGTAGGATAATAACTAAAGAGATGCAGTTTTAGGCAATGCGACTCCCACCACTTTCCTTCAGTAGAGCGAAATGTTACTGTTTCGCTTAGCCCATCGCTGCATGTTCGGTCGTGCGACCCTGGACTGGCAAGGTTAATCGAGGCCTTGAACTATTTTTACCCGACTCTAATAATAACTAATAAGACTTTTGTATCTTGTAGACATATCCACATGTCTCTATAAATTTTAAAAACTTACCAGCTCTAATCTGAACATCTCTGCTGACAATGCGTCCTACTGTATTGGAAACAACACATCGGTAGACTGTATTATGTATATCCTGTCGATATGCTGCGGCTGTAAAAGGCTGCAGAACTAAAGTACCATTTCGAAGAACTTTTCTGATACCGGCAACGTCTCCAACAGAAGTTCCATCTGCTGACTGCCAATCTACAGATGGTTGAGGGTTACCTGATGCTGAACAATCTAGCCACCCTCCACTAGAATTAGAAAATTCAAGTTTTGATGGTGGTTCCATTACAAACGATGGTCCCCGTAAGTGAGAATCAAAAGCGTTGTTACATCCTAAAACAAAATCGTTATTAAGTGTTAATACTTTTTTAGTAAATTAAAAATTAATAATACTATTAATTATAATTAATTTAATATTAATTAATAATAATATATTTATATATACTATATGTATACACTAACCAACAGAAAAAAAATTGGTCTAAAGAGTTTAGACAGTACTTCCCTCGCTATCAGAAACGTGACGACTGCATGTTTTTTTTTTCGCAGTAGATTTCAAAGCATTAGGTTTTGTAGTTCCTGAGTAAATCAATGAAATAAATTTACACATTCATTTTTTTTTGAGTCACCCGGTATATGCAAATTCAAATAATATGAATGGAATGATACATTACAAGTACAGAATCATCATTAGAGAGCGGAAAATATGCAGCAAAATTTTGGGAAATATGATCATATGATATGCATCAAATTTATGCAAATATGCAGTAACTTTCTTAATATATGCAGAGATATGCAGTTGCATATGCTCCAAAATTTAAAAAAAAAATCGTAATAACCGAACTAAATTTATTTACAAATTACAAAAACAGGTGTCCCGAGCATAAGTTTTATTACAAAAAATACATAAATCACATTGCAAAGTGTTTAATTAATTCTCACTAACACAAATCATATTTTTAAAGATAATATTATTATTTATTATTATTATTAAACAAGTGGTCAACAGGTCAAAACCCACTTACAGTCCAACAGTACAATAAGAATCAGCGATCCGCAGCTGAAAATCACTACGTCTCCAATTTGGAGACGGCATGATCCTTATCGAATAAAATAAGGTAAAAGATGTAGATTTAACAAAATGGACAAGTTTGGGAATAATCAAATCCTTTAACAGCACGTAAAGGGGCGAAGAAAAGGTCAATTTTATTGTGAATACAATTACCAATACACATTGTAAGCAATGGCGAAAATTTGGCAACATCTGTCCTTGAAGCCGTTAAATGAAATATTGCAGGGTGACGAGATATTATACTCCTAGGGCCCACATTAAAATGTAGTTGCTCTAAAATTAGGGAGCAATCAATGCAATTGTGTAAAAGTTTAAATAGAAAGACAGCATAGAATTTTTTACAAGTGTCCATAAAACTAGAAATATTGAAACGGTTCAAAAGACTAGACTGTGAAAAACCAATAGGGGGATAAACACCATCCTTGCGATAAGTCAGATATTTCAGAAATTAATAATAATATTGTTATACTAAAAAATAAATATGAACAGAACAAATTGAAAAATAATAGTAATCGACTATTTAATTACTATTTTGGTAACAGTTTATTTTTAAATATTTTTCGAAATATTCTAACAAAAAGTTTTTACGGTGATTCTAAAATATGCTTTTGTAAGTAGAAAAAGTGCGTACTAAGTCCACAGATGTATAAAAATCCTTACCGGTTTAGAGCAGGCGCCACAAAACAGAGTTTCTTCTTGAAGAATAAGTTCAGGAAAAGGTTTAATCCATAAGTTAATTAGAGTTATCGTCGACATATTGACACATTGTGTCACTTTAAATGCTTTCAATGCAAATTCACGATGAAAAATAATAGGGTAACGTCCCTTCGACCACCATAAAACATTCCATTAATACACTTAAGTAACGAACAAAAATATTGGGAATGAACGGTATTTCCAAAAGTAATTAGAGCCCGAATTTACCTGGAAGAATGGCTTAACACCCGGTGGTTTCTCCAAACTACCATAAAACCCAAACCTTTACTAGTTATTTGAAGCTCAGGACAATATTTGCAATATGATTAATGAAATTTCGTTTTTCTAGATAAATGCCGATAGAATGACTTTTTTTTTTCAAATTAGCACAAAAATTGATAAAAATGCGAAATATGCACCCGTTACGTGAAATATGCAGCAGAAGGCAAATATATGCAAATATGCAATTTTTTTATAGCTGTATTCATTTTTAATTAGCATGATTCGTTCACATATTTTAAATATCACGACTTATATGCAAAAAATAACGGATATGCAAATTTCATAAAATCCGCTCTCTACTCATCATATATTGTACTTTCTAGATAGGATTGATTCTGCAAACTTTTGAGCAGACGTCATCAGTTTTTTGGAGAAGATAACCAAATATATTTTGACTAAAAATTTATTATGCTCTTTATAAGTTTAAAATATCTGCAAGACTTCAAAACATTCGGTTCTGTAGTTCCTGATTAAATCAATAAAATACATTTACGCATTCATTATTTTTTTTGGGTCACCCTGTATATGCAAATCGAAAAAATTTGAACGGAATGATAAATCACAAGAAGAGACTTATCGTATTTTGTAAATTTTAGATTGGCTTTATTCAGCAAAATTTTGTGGTGGCGTCATAAATGTTTTAGGGGGGATGAGCAAATACATTTTGATCAAAAACTTACCATACTTATGATAACTTTAAAACATCTTCAAGATTTCAAAGCATTCGGTTCTGTAATTTCTGAGTAAATCAATAAAATAAATTTACGCATTCATTAATTTTTTTGAGTCATCCTGTATATGAAAATCCAAAAAATATGATTGAACCGATATATCACAAGTACAGACTCATCATATTTTGTACATTTAGGATTTATTCGGCAAACTTTTGAGCTGACGTCATCAAGTTTTTGGAAGGGATAACCAAATATATTTTGACTAAAGATTTATGATGCTCTTTATAGCCTTAAAACATCTGCAACATTTCAAAACATTCGGGTTAGCAGATTCAAAATTAAATTGCAAAATGTTGTTTTATAATTTTAATTTTTTTTCCTAAAATCTGGACGTTTCAGGTAAGAACTCAATTTGTGGTCGTATACTACATGTGTAGGACTATGTTATTTTATACTATTTAAAACCCATTTACTATGTACGATTTTGAAGTGACGTCATCGCATTAGTGGTGGGGATGATTAGACAAATTTTGGTTAGCGTTTTATCATCTACATGATATTCCCAATATATGTAAAAAATTTCACAACAATCGGTCCAGTACTTTCGGAGATTATCTGTCTAATAAAAATCCGGGACGGCAGACAGACGGACAGATGGACGGAAATGGGGCACCTATTTCTTCGCCTTCTAGGGGTCATGAAAGATCGAGAAAACGTAAAAGTAGAGAGTCGGCCGACGGACTCGATTACAATACTTCCTTTGCTTACGCTCGGGAAGTAAAAAGATTGAAATTAGCCAAATACACTGACGTCATCCGAGGTCATCAAGATGGCAGCGTTTGACAACTAGCCCGTTTTCTCATAAGAGTCAATGCTAATATTTTCGGAATTCATTTAAATTTGAGAGTGCGTCAACTATGTTTTTAAAGTTTGGTAAGTTTGTTACAGTTTCTAGACTGTGTAGATATTTGTAAAACGCACCATAACGTTTGAATATGCTTAAAAAATAATGTTTTCCATTGTGATGTACAGGTTAACTTCGCTGCATCTTATATTATTTGTTTTGCAAATTAATTCTTTGTTAATGTACATCAATGTTTTTTAAATACACTAGCATCTTAATATTATAATATTTTGTATTTTAGGAGAAAATGCCTAAATTTTGTGCTGTTGTGGGTTGCGCGAATCGAAGCACCAGAAATGCGGACAAATTTTATTTTCTTTTCCCAGCAATTAGCAACAATAAAGGTAAATATATACAGGATGGGGAAAAAGGCGGAAGTTTTGGTTAAAAGCCTTGAAACGAGTACAGTAGGAGTTAGATTTACAGTTTCTAATAAATTACTTCATTGGTGCTCTTTTAGGTAAACCTGCAGATTTGTCGGATGCGTATCACCCTGATTATGTTCCATCACAAAATTTAGGATATCAAAATAAATCCACTCATAATACTTGTAATGTTGAAAGACACAGTCGTTTAAAAAAGAGAAAACTGAATAAATGCCTCTAGACTTTTGAATGCACGAATTTCATTGTGGGTTATTTTACTTATTCCAAAAATAAAAAAGTTTAGAATGGTATTCTTTGTTATGGTAGGGACATCGTCTAAACACAAATTAAAATCACTTGCACTCATTTTATAAGGATCTACGCCGTTTAAATTGTTTAACTTTTGTACATATCTGTTTTTCTCTTTGATGGAAAGACATCGTACATAATCACTTAAATTATCTATACTTTAAAAACAAATCACACACCTTCACTTAAATCCGTCACATTAACCTCAAACGAAAATATTAATTTCCGATTTACCGCTTAAAACACACGGATGTATTTTGGGTGACGAGGAATTCAGACCAAAACAGCGTTCTGTATTTTTATTTTTATTATGTATTTTTAAACTCAAATCGCCAAAAAAAGCACCCTGATACACAGAAAAGATATGAAAGAAGCTATACTATTTCCAGCGATAGATTGGAAAATTTTGAATTCAAAATCGCCAATCGGAGAATCCAAAATATACTAACATTATACGGTTAAAGCTGTTAAAGAGTTGTAGTTTAAGTTGGCAACCAACGTTTCTTTTCCCGCGCAACGAATTTCCTACGCCTCTATGCCTGCGCCAGTCGGCCGGTTTCGTTTAACCTGTGTTTTGGACGATCAACTGATTGACGTTAATTTAAAATTTTGGTTCAAAAAGTTAAAAAGTGTGTTTTTTGCGTTTAGTGTTTGTGTTTTTTTACTTGCTTTGATTTGTTAGGTATGATATTATAGACCTTTGTGCTATTTTTTGTATAGTGGCTGAAGTTTGGACATTTTAGGTTAAGTTGTTTGTGTCAAAAAACGTTTCATATGGACCCCATGGAAAACATTACGAATAAAATTGATAATTACGCAAGAGTTTGTTGTTGATTTATTCTGTGCAATAATTATATACCATTATATATTGTAGCCCTCTTCAACCCGGTGCAATATGACTGTTGTTGACAACATCCTGGCACAGAAAATGATTGCCAATGCGTATTCTTTTATCAAGAAGGAAAATTTTAATTTAAGATTCCCTACAGAGGTTGTTACTTCAATATAAAGTACGTAATGTTATTCGAAGT